GGGCGGGTCCGAGCCGCGCACGCCCGCCGGGCATCCCGAGCTCGCGGCCTCCGGGCTGTGGCCGGCCATCCGGCCCAGGAAACCCGAGCCCGGCCGAGAGTCCGCTCGGCAGGTCCGACTGCCCGCCCCGCGCCCCCCGCCCGGGGTGCTGTGCCGGCGGAGGCCGCTCTGCCCCTTTGGGCACCGAGTGCTGGGAAGGACTGGGGGGTCCAGGAGAGGCCCGAATCCCCCTAGAACTTGAAGCGCCCCCATCCTCACCCCTGGCCCAGTGGGGTGAAAAGTGCAAGCTTTGCAGATGGGCGCAGACCGTCTGACCGCAGGAGAAATCTCAGCCGCCTGCAAAAGGGCCCTCAGCGGGGACGATGCGGGGGCGGGGGATGAGGGGGGTACTTCACTGCTTCAGCCATTTTTTTTTCATCCTAGACTCTGCCCCTGGAAGAAGAAAGGGGATGCAGAGAGACATAGAATAAATGAAGGCCCTTGCAACAAGTGCGTCCTTGTGTCTAGCTGGTACCTGTTGGACTCCTAGGGCTGCATGTGTGAGATACACAATGGGTTTCACACTTGCATCCCTGGACTTAAAGGACATGAACTTGAGCAAATTCCTGGGAGACAGTAGAGGGCAGGAAGGCCTGGCGGGCTACAGTCCATGGGGCCACAAAGAGTGACCCGCTTTAGCAACTGGACTATATATATATACAATGAAATACATATTATGAGATGTGTATATAAGATCTATATATCTGTTATGAATAATTTTATATTGATTCCAGGTCAAAACAGTATATTTTGGATATACTCGGTTAAATATTATTAAGATTAATTTTGCTTTTGGTTTTTACTTTTTTGATACAGCTATTAGAAAAATTTCAAATACCTTTAAGGTTCATGTTTATACTGTTTCTGTTGCTCCCCTAGATCCAGCAGTCTGACAGGGCTCCTGCTTCTCAGAGTATTTCTTTTATTTAGTTGTTATCCTCTGCTTTCTGAAAGTCAGAGGAAGCGCAGACAATTATCAGAAGGGCCAGATTAGGTCTATAAGAGGAGGGTGTATGGGGAAGCGCCCACACCCCCATGAATGACGGATTAAAGGCAGAGCCTCTGTCATATAGGATTTCACCCTTGTCGGTACAAAGAGAATAAACTGAGCCTTAAGCTGGCAAGCAGGAGAAGGAATTAAATAGCAGTGTGCAGGCCCGGTCATGTTCCGAGAAGAAAACACTGCTGTCAGATAAATCTGGGTTTGGTTTCAGGCTCTGCCATCTCCGGTAATTGACTTAATCCTGATGAGCCTCAGTTTCCTCAGTGGGAAAAGATGAGCAGGGTGCTCATCTTATTGCTCAAGTTATCACTTAAGTAAAGATAGTAACAGACACATGTCTGTAGCGCTTAGTATGTCCCTGGCTGTTCTAAGTACTTCGTGCATCATAATTGAGTCTTCATAATAGCTCCAGCATCAGTGTTGTTACTGGTGCCAAAGGAAAAGCAGGCATGGAGCAGTTAAATGGCCAGGAGGGCTCACACCCAGGCAGCGAGCTTGATCTCTCTCCTCTGCAGCGGGGATGCAGTGAATACAAATTAGTTTGCTTGCCATTTGTCCTCCCCTCTCATCAGCTCCCTGCACCACCAGGTTAAGACGGCCTTGGACAGTGTTCCCTTCCCACCACAGCCCAGACCCGCAGAGTGAGGAGACCGGCAGGCCGCCGACGTGGGGCCGGCGGCTCTGAGGCGCGGCTGAGCCGTGCTGCGTGGCCTGGTGTGGCCCCACTCGCCTGCACGCAGGCTCCAGTCTAGCCACGGCCGTTTCCTGTGTCTGTCGCACCCAACCTTGTAGTTGCCAAACTGTCCCGAGCTGGGGCTCTGAGAGACAAAACAGAAACGGCCGCAGATTGTTGACCCTGGGACCCAAACACCGAACAGCCCTGGGGGTTTCCAAGAGGGGTGCATGCTCTTTCAGTCCCACCCTGCCCTGGGGAGAATTTCAACTCCTCAATTTCATTTCAGAGGCGACCTTTGTTCCAGCCTAGTTTCTCTGTGCTTTTCCCCTCTCCAGAGGCCTGCTGCCCTGGATTCCAAGTTCTGCCAGCTTTTTTTTTTTTTTGTCTGTGTCCTTATAAAGGCTCAACAAGGGACTTCCCTGGTGGTCCAGTGGCTAAAAAGAACTTGGCCATCCCAACGCAGGGGGCCGAGGTTCCCTGGATCCCTGACCAGGGAACTAGATCCCATATGCTGCAACTAAAGATCCCACGTGCCACACCTCAGAGCCAGTGCCACCAATTAAATAAATATTTGTTAAAAGAAAAAGAAAAGGCTCAACAAAATGAGTTTCTACAGTAGTGGGGTTGTAAGTCAATTTTTCTGTTTAAAACAAAATTCCTTAATTGCTGTTACAATGTTTGTGAAACAATAGCAAACAATTTTAGAAGCAAAATAAACATCGGTTTTGCATTTAGCCAAAGCGGAACCGAGCAGGTCAGTGTATAGATGGAAGGGAGGTTTTGGTAGACCATTTCTTGGCGTTATGTCTAAAGTTTCCACTGGCTAAAGACAGCTGCACCTACTTCAGATTTCCAAGGAGTACTTTTCAGACTAGCACCACCTACTTGAGCTGAGTGTATATGCTTCCTGTGGAACCCAAGATTGTGGTTTCAAAGATAACCTAGTTCCAGCAAGCTTTCCAATGCCAGAAATCTTTCTACTTTCCCCACTGGCAAATGCTTATCTAAACTGAGGGTTGGTGGTCCTGTGGTTAAGACTCCGGGCTTCCACCTTAGAGGACAGGAGCACAGGAACTAAGTCTGGTGAAGGAACTCAGATCCCGCATGCCTTGCGGCAAGGCCACACCGCCTCCCCAGAACAACACAAAGTAAAACCTGAAGGTTGGTGTTTACCTGAAGTACTCATTGCAACTATTCACCCCAAAACCAGAGGAGTGGCACTTTTCGCTCTAATACTAAAGAGAGTTTTCCAAGTAAAAATATCTTCATCCCAAACATATCTTCACCCAGACTAGCATATTTAAATCTACAATGTTCAACAAGAGAGAGAAAGTTACATTAGTAGCCAAATTCTCCTGAGAAATAGAAGCAATAGGAGGAAGAGAGAAAGACAGACAGACAGAGAAGAATTTATTTGAAGAAACTGGCTCACACAGGTGTGGGTCCTGGCGAGTCCCAACCTGTAGGACGTGCCAGCAGGCTAGGAATGGGGAAGAGCTGGTGTTGGAGCCTTGACTCTGAAGACAGCCTGGAAGCTGAACTCCTTTCTCGGGGAACCTCAGTGTTTCCTCGTAAGGCCTTCAACTGACTGGGCAAGACCCACCCACACTATCAAGGATAATCTGCTTTACTTACTGGCTACTGACTTAAATGCTAATCACATCTAAAAAATACCTTCTCAACAACATTCAGACTATTTGACCAAACACTGGGTACCAGGGCTTAGCCAGGTTGACTAGTAAAAGTAATTGTCATAGTTCAGCTCAGTTCAGTGGCTCGGTCGTGTCCAACTCTTTGAGACCCCATGGACTGTAGCAGGCCAGGCCTCCCTGTCCATCACCAGCTCCCAGAGCTTACTCAAGCGCATGTCCATCGAGTCGGTGATGGACTATCCAACCATCTCATCCAACTATCTCATCCTCTGCCACCCCTTTCTCTTCTTCCTCTCAATATTTCTCAGCATCAGGTCTTTTCCAATGAGTCAGTTCTTCGCATCAGGTGGCCAAAGTATTCGAGTTTCAGCTTCAACATCAATCCTTCCAATGAACACTCAGGACTGATCTCCTTTAGGATGGACTGGTTGGATCTACTTGCAGTCCAAGGAACTCTCAAGAGTCTTCTCCAACACCACAGTTCAATAGCTTCAATTCTTTGGCACTCAGCTTTCTTTATGGTCCAACTCTCACATCCCTATGTGACTACTGGAAAACCCATAGCCTTGACTAATTGGACCTTTGTTGGCAAAGTAATGTCTCTGCTTTTCAATATGCTATCTAGGTTGGTCATAGCTTTTCTTCCAAGGAACAAGAGTCTTTTAATTTCATGGCTGCAGCCACCATCTGAAGTGATTTTGGAGCCCCAAAAAATAAAGTTAGCCACTGTTTCCACTGTTTCCCCATCTATATGCCATGAAGTGATGGGATCAGAGCCCATGATCTTAGTTTTCTGAATGTTGAGCTTTAAGCCAACTTTTTCACTCTCCTATTGCACTTTCATCAAGAGGCTCTTTAGTTCCTCTTCACTTTCTGCCATAAGGGTGGTGTCATCT